GGGGGGGGGGGGGGGGGGAAATCTCCCTCAAATTTCAGCATTTACTTCATTCCTAAGGTAGAAAAAGGCAATTTCAAACTAGACACAAATTATTCAGATATATCTTTAAATTTCAAAGTACATGTTATCCTAATTAACAGCCAAATATTTAGTCTGAAATGTCACAATTTAAAGTTTTATCAAGTAAAACAAACGATAATATACCAGCTAATATAAAAAAAAAAAAACTATAATTTTACAAAAACTTAAAATTTTATAACAGATTCAGGTAATCTTCTATTATTATTATTATTCTCTTTATTGCCTCCAAAGATGAAGATTACAAAGTAATGTGGAACATATATACAAAGTATTTGGTATATATACACGAATACGTAATATGCATTACATGAATATACACTTTATGTAAAGAGATGTGTATATAAAATGTAAAATAATAGAATATTTTAGAGTAAATCTAAAAAGTTTCAATATACAGATTATAAATTGATTTGCACAAGCCAAGTAAATTATAATAAATTGTATTGATACGTGGTACGTAATACTGATACATGACTATGTATAGACATCAATGTATCGTTGTATTTGTAAATACATGCAATAAAGACATTTATTGTAACATACAAACTATAAACGCGGAGGATACATGTGTGGGTCTGGATCACATAAGGGTGGGGGATATCCCCACCTGCGATCTCAAGATCTGGGAGAGAGTGTAAATAGACACTAAACAGTATATCCTTGATATTAATTATGCAGAACCATAGTTGATCCCTCAACTCGGAAGTATAAGTACACTGTAGCACTAGATGTGTCATTGGGTACATGAATTGATATAAAAACCCACATTTATGACATAATTCCATGGTAGTCAAGCTATGGATGGTTACAACTATTATCATCATATATTTTATATATTCTCTGTATTGAGGAAATCGAAGCGCTAGCTTCCATAAAGTATTAGCTTTGAGTTGGTTATGTATTTCTCGAAACCTTGTAAAATCATTATCAACTTTCATACGTTCCTTTAGATTGTGTCCCTCATATTTCATTACAGAATTATATACAGTTTTACAAAAACAAACTGTATTAAGGGAGAGAAAAAAATCTCCCTTAAATTTCAGCATTTACTTCATTCCTAAGGTAGAAAAAGGCAATTTCAAACTAGAAACAAATTATTCCGATATATCTTCGAATTTCAAAATATGTGTTATCCTAATTAACAGCCAAATATTTTGCAGGAATGTCACAATTTAAAGTTTTATCAAACAAAACAAACGGTAATATACCAGCTTATATAAAAAAAAAAAAAACACTATAATTTTACAAAAACAATGGGGCTTACTGGTAGAAGAAAAACTAAAGTGGAAGGGCTTAATGGGTAGGAGCGAGGAGAGGGTGAATGGGTCTAAATGTCTGTTTACCTTCTGATGAACCTAAAACCTTTGATCTTGCCATGAAGAGAAGTCTGTTTCAATCTTGTCAGATGTCAGTTGATTGAGTGCACCCTCTTCTCCAGGAGAAATAGTCATTAATTTCATCATAAATAAGATCTGTAGCGGACTGGACTAGGTAGATCAACAGCAACCAGGTTGCTCAATTGGTCTGTCCAGAGGTCAGAGGGTCCTCGGTTCAAATCCTGGTCCGGCCGCGCATTTCAAAATCGGGAGTCTTCCTCCAAAAAAGGGAAAGTTGATTGTGTACTAGCCTCACCTATAATAGACTAGTGTCTATACGTTTACCCACTTACACGTGTTTTGTTAACAACGCAATACTTGAACACAGCTCGTATGTAACGCATTATTCAGTCAGATGTCAAGAGTTACCAAATAGCATCATAAGTTGTCCGACAAAACTTCCCAACCGTGTATTCTAACCACTGAATTATTTCAAAAGATTCGTCTCATTCCAGCAAGATCAGAGTCACGTTACAAATGTCTGAAATACACATATGCTATACTGATACGGGTCACAACACACATAAACATAGACATTTGTAACGTGACCCTGTGAGCAAAGCGAAGGTAATGCGCTGCCATGTTGTATATTTACTTGGCTTGCGCTCTGAACCGGTCACGTACGTCGTCATCCTCGGGGTATGATAGAACAGTTAAGGGTTGAATACGCAAATTCATACAATAATGCATACATTATGAAATTGTTATATTTGTAATTATTTATTGATCATCTAATTGCATTTTTTATCTTTGTTAGTCGCAATCCGCTAATTCACGGAATTAGGTTATCTAAGTCCGTGGTTAATTTAACTGTATTTAATTGACCAAAATAAAATTGAATAAAATAATAATAGTATTAAGCTGGCATTATTTTGTAATGTTCATGAAATTACAGAATAAAATTTATGTGAACTTCTGATTACAAAGGTAAAAAAAAGCAACGTAAAATGTATGTGTAAATCCGGAACCTTACACCCGGTAACCGCTTTCCAGAGAAGATGCCCCGAGTGTAATTGGCTAACCAAACCTAGCCTTGAAATAAGATGCATATTTTCTTGTTTTCTTCATACAATCATCTTAGATGATCAGCATGTATCGATATTCTATCTATTATACCTTTTGTCTTCGAGATGGCGATGGTTCATAGGTTAATTAACATATCTTACTTCTTTCAAAAACCAAAATAAAAGATCCTAGGACAGAAACTGTTTACTAGCTAGGTTTCTAGTGATATCAACTGAAAACGAAACAAAAGCAACAAAACCAATAAAATGTCCCCTTTTTTTCATTGAAAACACAATAAACCGACCCCAGCTGGAACACTTCGATCGGGAAAATCAAAATAAACGGGTAGTAAAAGGTCAAAATCCTCCAAAAGATGACAAATTTCTTAGAAATTCCCCGAAAAAAAAATAGTACCTCCTATATCTTAGAAAGTATCCGTTGCTCGGCGTTTTATGGAGAAACAAAGAGAGATAATCTCCAGACCACAATGAAAATATCACCAATGTCCGCCATATAAAACAGAACGACGAACCCATAAAAACTAACTCAATATCACCAATGTCGCCTTATAGAACGGTACACCCATAAATATTAACGCATTACTACTCCAATTCCAAATATGTTTTGAAATATGTTTTGATGTTATCAAGGTAATTCTCTTCGGTGCTTCCATAGTCAATGTTTTGATCGTCACGAAGCATGGTTTCTTTGTAGCATTACTGGTCACGATAGTGACCAATTCGACTGCTAGTTGCGCCAACTTCACAGGAAAGGGACCCTCCAAACTTGAGACAAGTTCCAGCAATTGAATAGTCCGAATTATTCAGACGTTTTATCGACTTTTTTTTATATCGGTCTGTCCTCGATTAACGTCAGATATCCGGCCCTTTATAACACATTAAACTTTACCTGAACATAAAATGAATTGTTAATAATTTACAGTTTCGTTTGTTTGATCTTATTTTTACAATTTTGACGACTGTGCATTTACTACAATGACTTTTTTTAGTAGTGATGTGCTTTAAAACAAACATATATGTATATATACAGTGTCTAAATATGTATCCTACCCGAAGACTATAAAGTGTATTTACATAAGTATACATATTATGTTAAATATATTATGTTAACAGCATCCTATCGCGAACACATATTATACATTGTATATACTTTGTACACAAATATAAAATGAAGATCTCTGTCCTAACCAAACACTGTAATATATTGAACTCGTAAATTTACCTACATTTATCTTACATCATCATGCATGACAATTACCAGTGGGTAAACCCGTTTTTGAACTAATATAAAAACGTTAATGATGGGAAAGAGACACTGGCAATGCACTGACATAACACGCTAGATAGTGGAGTGGTTGTGATTGGATCTCCATTAAAAGAAAACCGTCTGGTGAATCTGGTGGCAGCGGGTACTTTATGCGTGACGTCATTTGCTGATATGTATTGAGGTACACTTTTATCCCTTATAAGAAACACTGTATAGGTACGTCTGTGTAATAACCAAGTCACGGTATGATATAAACGGTTGTAAATTTTAGCTCACCCGTCTACGTGAATCTATTTGAACCATCTGGTAGACATGTCACACGTATACTTCACAGTTTGGTGTCAATCATGATTTTGCCGACGGCTGTTGCTTTTAATTTACGAAATTCATTGGTTAGTCGTTTTTAGTCGGTGTATTACAGATGATAGAAATATAACTAATTTAAATAGGTATTAGACAATAAATCCCTCCGTCTTTAAATTAGTTATATTTCTATCATCTGAAAATTCGAAAGAATTGTGTAATTTAGGAAAATTTGTCCACCAAGCAAACATATTACGAGCAAATTATTTAGTAGATAGTTAAATGTATTAATGGAATGGCCCTGGAAATATTTGCTGTAATTAAGTTTAATGCAAAGGTTGTATCTTAAAGAATTACAAATTACTGGCTAAGTCATGCAGCAAGTTAGGCGTTAAACGCAATATGTACAAAATTAAAATGACGGCAGAATGTCGCTCACCGTAAGAGTTTCTTGTAGAACTTATTATATTTAATGGAGCAGCAGTGTGTTGACAGGACAAATTCCGTTTCATACAGACTGTCTAACACCAAGGTGCCTACATATTGTATTTGAAAATAGGGGAAAAGAGGAAAATAGTTTAGGCATCTCAACAGAAGGCGGCCTTGGATGGATCTCTTGCAAAGTAAACCAACTGGTCGACGTTTGCTGACGACTGTGGGTGAAACTGAAGCGTGTTGATAGCAATGGGCCATCAACATAAAACTTCCCAACTGGTCACCAACAGCCACGTGTAGTCGAAAGAATAGTCCTTAGACAACTAAACAATGGTCCTTAGACAACTAAACGATGGTCCTTAGACATTTAAACAATGGTCCTTAGACAACTAAACAATGGTCCTTAGACAACTAACCAATGGTCCTTAGACAACTAACCAATGGTCCTTAGACAACTAAACAATGGTCCTTAGACAACTAAACAATGGTCCTTAGACACCTAAACAATGGTCCTTAGACAACTAAACAATAGTCCTTAGACAACTAAACAATGGTCCTTAGACAACTAAACAATGGTCCTTAGACAACTAAACAAATCACCATGGTTATCATGTTGATAACCCTTTTCAAATCGCGATGGTTATCATGTTGATAACATTTTACAAAACACCATGGTAATCATGTTGATAACATTTTACAAAACACCATGGTTATCATGTTGATAACCCTTTACAAATCGCTATGTTGATAACCCTTTACAAATCACCATGGTTATCATGTTGATAACCTTTTACAAATCCCCATGGTTATCATGTTGATAGCCCTTTACAAATCACCATGGTTATCATGTTGATAACCCTTTACAAATCGCTATGTTGATAACCCTTTACAAATCGCCATGGTTATTATGTTGATAACCCTTTACAAATCGCTATGTTGAAAACCCTTTACAAATCGCCATGGTTATCATGTTGATAACCCTTTACAAATCGCCATGGTAATCATGTTAATAACCTTTACAAATTGCCATGGTTATCATATTGATAACCTTTACAAATTGCCATGGTAATCATGTTGATAACCTTTACAAATTGCCATGGTAATCATGTTGATAACCTTTACAAATTGCCATGGTAATCATGTTAATAACCTTTACAAATCGCCATGGTAATCATGTTAATAACCTTTACAAATTGCCATGGTTATCACGTTAATAACCCTTTACAAATCACCATGGTTATCATGTTGATAACCCTTTACAAATCGCCATGGTAATCATGTTAATAACCTTTACAAATTGCCATGGTTATCATATTGATAACCTTTACAAATTGCCATGGTAATCATGTTGATAACCTTTACAAATTGCCATGGTAATCATGTTGATAACCTTTACAAATTGCCATGGTAATCATGTTAATAACCTTTACAAATCGCCATGGTAATCATGTTAATAACCTTTACAAATTGCCATGGTTATCACGTTAATAACCCTTTACAAATCACCATGGTTATCATGTTGATAACCCTTTACAAATCGCCATGGTAATCATGTTAATAACCTTTACAAATTGCCATGGTTATCATATTGATAACCTTTACAAATTGCCATGGTAATCATGTTGATAACCTTTACAAATTGCCATGGTAATCATGTTGATAACCTTTACAAATTGCCATGGTAATCATGTTAATAACCTTTACAAATCGCCATGGTAATCATGTTAATAACCTTTACAAATTGCCATGGTTATCACGTTAATAACCCTTTACAAATCACCATGGTTATCATGTTGATAACCCTTTACAAATCGCCATGGTAATCATGTTAATAACCTTTACAAATTGCCATGGTTATCATATTGATAACCTTTACAAATTGCCATGGTAATCATGTTGATAACCTTTACAAATTGCCATGGTAATCATGTTGATAACCTTTACAAATTGCCATGGTAATCATGTTAATAACCTTTACAAATCGCCATGGTAATCATGTTAATAACCTTTACAAATTGCCATGGTTATCACGTTAATAACCCTTTACAAATCACCATGGTTATCATGTTGATAACCCTTTACAAATCGCCATGGTAATCATGTTAATAACCTTTACAAATTGCCATGGTTATCATATTGATAACCTTTACAAATTGCCATGGTAATCATGTTGATAACCTTTACAAATTGCCATGGTAATCATGTTGATAACCTTTACAAATTGCCATGGTAATCATGTTAATAACCTTTACAAATCGCCATGGTAATCATGTTAATAACCTTTACAAATTGCCATGGTTATCACGTTAATAACCCTTTACAAATCACCATGGTTATCATGTTGATAACCCTTTACAAATCGCCATGGTAATCATGTTAATAACCTTTACAAATCGCCATGG